TGCCGGCAGGTGAGTGGAGGAAGGGGGCTCCAGGTACACCCAGCTGGCTGTTCTCCGGTGTCAGGCCAGGTGGTGGAGCATGACAGGAGGAAGTGACAGAGAGGGGGAAATCTGTACAATATGATATATGGGGGTGTAAAAGCCAGCCTGTTATTGGCTATTGCAATTTGAAAATTTGAAAAAGCCAATAGCAGGCTGGCTATTGCACCCACCCCCTGCCTGCGGTCAGTCAGCAGAGGAGGACCTGAAGGAGAACTTTCTCCTTCAGTTCTCTCCTCTGCTGATTGACAGCAGGCAGTGGGTGGGTGCAATAGCCAGCCTCTCGTCCCAGGGGATCCACACCAACTAATCAATAATGACAATTGTTGACATTATCGATTAGTTGGTTGCAACCATAATTTTAAACATGTGTGGAAAAACGAGGGGGAGGAATCTATCCTCATGTTCTTAGTTTGGATTGGTCAGGTTGGTGACAGGCTTTCCTCCATACTCGGATCTAACAAATTGGTTGATGATCTTTCAACATCTCCCATGTAATGAAATTATTTACCATTTTCAGGGGATCTACTGGGAACCTCAACATTTTCAGTCTTCTTCTGAACTTTAAATATCACAGCATTCACACTCGGTTTCTTGATCTGAAAGGTCGCCTCTTCACCTGGAGTAAGATAAATGGAACATTAAAGAGCCACCATCAAGTTAGCAGAGAACAATGAGGGAGGAAGGGAGGGTATGTTTAGCCAATCAGTGGCTTTTATTTAAAGGGTTTCTAAAGCCTATGTTTTTTTGCCTATATCTACTGCTAGCAAGCAGTAGATATAGGCAAAAAGTTTAATTAAAAAAACAAAAACGCTGTAACAGCGGTTTAAACTTACCCCGTTTTCGCCACACGCTCCCGCCCGAAAATCGGAAACTGCTCGGGCGGCCGCAAAGCATCTTGGGCATGCGCAGTCCGGATTTTCAGCCGGGAGACGAGGAGAGAGGCAAGGTAAGTCTATGGACGCGTGCACCTGCATGCAGACACCTTGGGACAGGAAGTGCCAGCAAGGACAGAGGAGTCAGCGCTGGATCGGAGAGCTGCCGCACCGCTGGAGGGACAGATGAAAACATCAGGAAAGAAGAAGATCGGCTTAAGAAACCACATTTAAGGTAAGTGCTGACATTAACATTGGGGGGAGGGGGAAAAAATTTGACTTTAATTTTGTGCTTTAAAAAAACCCAAAAAAGTTTTTTTTTTCTACGTAGACTTGTTAAACTTCTGCTTACTGTTTCTTGATATTCTTTACATGCCACAGAGGATTCCATGAGAGGTGCGTAGGTAAATATTCCACAAGTGACATGTCATGATATAACAGGTATGTAGGGGTTATATCCCAAACTGATAAACACGGCATGCATGCATGCATGCATGCATGCAGGTAGACACAAAACATTTGGAAGCCCTTTTATGTAGATGGATACAAAAGGTGTGCAGATTAAATATATAATATATATCAAGATGGGGATGCCATGTGATGTGCTGGGGGGCGCAGGGGGGGTGCATATATAGTTAGGTGTGCCGAGGATTGCATGTAATGAGCCAAGGAGGCAGGGGGTGCCATGTAAGGAGCCAAGGAGGCAGGGGGTGCCATGTAAGGAGCCAAGGAGGCAGGGGATGCCATGTAATAAGCTGAGGATGCCATGCAATAAGGTGATGCCATATAATAAGCTGGGGGAGTAGGGAGTGCCATATAACAAGCTGGGGTGCCATGTAACATAAGAATGGGTTTCCATATAACAAGCAGTGGGGTGGGGGGGGGATACCATTTTCGCTCACCTCTCTCCTCAGTGAAGCTGAGCAGGCCGCCAGTCCCAGAAGGGGCCCCCACTGCGTCCCCGGTGTCAGTCTTCTCTATGTCCGCCTCCTCTTTTTTCTTCTTAGTCCCGCAGGTTAGGCCTCGTCCGCCGGGTCTCTTCGGCCTCTCCACTTGGCTCCGTTCCCCTTCTTCCACCTCCTCCTCCCCGCTGGACTCCGCTCTCCGGACCCGCAAGTTACGGTTCGGTTTCCTAAACATCCTGACTGAAAGTCGCTTCTTTACTTCGTCAATGAGAGGCGACGATACACTCTGCGTTCCAACCGAGAGCCCCAGCCAATCAGAAAACAGAAAAAAAATGTTCTCAATAACTTTATTTCAATGGACAATAGAACAGCGTTTATCTATTAAAGGGATGGAGACTGTGATTGAGGCGATGCTTTGTTCACTTCAATCTTCCCCATACCTCCTAACATTAGAACTGAGGAAGAGGGACATCTTAGAGGGGAGTAAATATGCACAGCGTGCAGCCAACATGGCTACATCTGTCTGAATAGTGGAGTGGCTTGGGGAGAAACTTTGCAATGTGACATCATAAGTACGCTTCAGCTAAATCGCAGTAAAAGGAGCACATGACCCTTTTTTAAGGGCATGGTAATAAGATACTGCGCCTGGTGGCGCGATGCAACATGCATACGATGGCTAGGTACATTGGGATGCCATTAACAAATCATGACACCACAATGCACTAGGGCTGCAACTGTTCTCCTTTTGGTCCACTCCTCTGCTGATTGACAGCAGGCAGTGGGTGGGCGAGTGCAATAGCCAGCTTACTATTGGTTATTGCAATATGAAATAGCTAATAGCAAGCTGGCTATTGCATCCAATATAGAGTCACAGCGGCATTGGCTGACAGCCAGTCTCTCCTCCCCACTGGGTGGTGGGCTGCCGGCTGCATCGGGCTGTGTTCCCTCCAATGCCCACTGCCTCTGTTCATACAGGGGGAGAGATGTGGGATCGGAGGGGACACAAACTGCAGCATGCAGCTGGCTCCCAGCAGGGAATAGAGAGCTGCATAGTGGAGGAGGGTCAATATGTGGGAGCTCTCCTCACCGCTGGGCACTGGCTGCAAGGGTCTGTGTCCCCTCCATTCCCCGCTGGGAGCTGCGACAAGCTTATGAAACACTGGCTCCCAGAGAACTTAGGGATAAACACCAATTAATCGACAATGAGAATTGTTGACAACTATTCTCATTATCGATTAGTTGGTTGCAGCCCTACAGTGCACCAGTGTAATATGTAGCTCATGTCCAATGCATTCTTAGCAATCATCAAAACATTGCCTGCGTTCCGGTCCACTGCGAACGCAAAAAAATACAGCATGCAGTATTTTTTGCGTTCGCAACGGAACACAGGCAATGTTTTGCCAGGAGTCCAATCGCACTGCGGGCAGGAGGAGTGGCTGCGGTGACATTGACTTCAATGCACTGTCACGCCCCCTCCCGCCCCAGAATGAAGTGGGGGAGTTTAGTAGGCAATTACAGTGCGTTCCAGCAGCTACCGCTCTGGAACACACCGCAATTGGTGTGAACGAGCCCTGATGCTTTTTATATATTGCACGGATGTTCTATGTTATTTTGAATAATATTGGTAACATATAATGCAAAAAGAGTTCATGGATGTTGTCATAAATTTTACTGATTTGAGCAACACATTGATGGAAAAAAAATGTATTTATTCATTTTTAGTATTGTTTTGCATATTATTATCACTATTGGGATGGTTTTGGTGCTTATGGAAGGCACGTCTTTTATATTAACTTTTTCACTTGAATTTGCACATATATCATATTTTTTTGATAAATGTTTAGTACTGTGCATAAAAGTTTACATATCATTGAAGAGTGAATACGCTCGGAGCATAGCAGCCTAATATTTCCACGCAGTTATAGGAACCCTGAGCGCAGAAAATATTGCTTTAATAATAACATGTAGAACGTAATTGTCTACATGAGGGTTTAACACTGTGCTAAAATCTCTGGCAGTCTAAAGGCAGTGACACACTGCACGCGAAGTAGCGGCGTGCTGTGCGTCATGTCATTTTCCCTCCGGCACGTCAGCTTGCGGGAGCTCGAGACGAAATGTGAGAAGTAACGTGTATATATATCATACAGTCACTCCATATACCAAATACACTGCATATATAATTTGAGGAAAATATTCAAATAAACTAATTTTTTTTACCATTTGCCAATAAAAAAAAAATGTCCCCGCATTTTATTTTAAAAATCTGGTCACCTTACTCTATACATCATATTGACTTGTTGTTGCGGGGGGGATGTTTTTGGACACAGTGGGTTTAACACTATTAAGCTGGCCATACACCTATAGATTTTCTATGGCCAGATGGAAAAAGTGCAACAGATTCCTCCATCTACGCTAAGCTGTGTGGCTGGAGGAATCTCCAACTGGGCCAAGCTTCAGTATCTTGCTACTTGGCCCTGCTGGCTCTTAAAACACCTGAACAATGCCTGCATCCAATCAGATTGTTCAGGTATTTTGAGAGCCAGCGGGGCCGACTAGTGACTCCATCTACTGACACAGTTTAGGGTAGATGGAGGAATCTTGCACTTTTTCCATCTGACCCTAGAAAACCTGCAGATAATCTATAGGTGTATGGCCAGCTTTAGTTATATCTTCATGGAACATTGTGCTTTTGTACAGGAAATATCACATTGGTCACATTCCAAGTTTGCTTTAATCCCAGTTTTTCATATATTCAAATTATTGCTGATAATTGGACCTCTCTGTTTTTCTTATTGCTCAGATCTCTGGTAGCGCGGCACTTGCATTTAAAGAGAACTATGAAAATCACTCATCCTCATAGTTCGAACCCACGTGTGACAATGAAACTGCCACACGTCGGCTCAATAGATCGGGAAGTGAGCGAACACATAGTCGCTTGCTCGCTTCTCGATCATCTCCCTGCAGAGAGCGGTGGCGGTCAGTCACAGCTCCCTACAAGGAATCCCCCCTCCAGCGCTGACTGGCGGAACGGACGGGGAGGGTACAGCAGGCTCTGCCTCTAGATAGGCAGAGCCCGCTGTCACTCACACAAGCTGGGTGGATCGTGATAGTAATGTCTGGATCCCTCCGGCTGCGGCGGTCTCAGTATACTGCGAGCTGTAGCCTACGATATACTGAGCTTTGGGTTGCACCACCCTGCTTAGCTCTTCTCGTCATCCCCAGCACCTCACCTGTTAGTATGCGGCTCTGCCGAGATCTCCAAAGCACACATTGATATGGCGCTTCCAGCAGTTGTGTTGGCATGTCTGCCGGCGGGGCAGCGTTAGCATGAGGCAGGGAGGGTGTGAGCCCTAATACACTGGCTGAATTGCCACTCGCCCTCACTTTATTTCCACTCACAAAATGCGAGCAGGCGAGTGGAAATTTTGAGCCCACAGTCAGTACAGCCACCTGAACTGTCTTTTATTTCTCTGGGCATCTGGTAAAAGCTACTGGACATGAGCCTCAGAAGCAGGTCAAATACACTGCAGGGAATTGACGAAGACTGGAGCAGCTGGGCATGGCAACCAATCAGCTTCTAGCTTTTATTTTCAAAGGTTAAATGAACAAGCTAAAGATAGCTGATTGGTTGCCATGCACAGCTGCTCCAGTCTTTGTAAATTCCCCACCATGCATTTGACTTGCTTCTGTGGTTCATGTACATCTGCTCCAGTTTTAGTGAAATCCCCCCCACTATGTTTTCAGGTGCTTCTGAGATGCCTTGACTTGTGTTTTCCTTACTTTGAGTTCCCTTTCAGTTGCTCAAAGAACTGCTTTAAAGTTTATCTAAACCATATTAACTTCTTATTTACGATTTAAGTCTGTTAAATCTACCACTGAAAGGGGTTTTTTTTTTTTTTTAAATATCTGGTAGGTGCAACAAAAAAAGAAAGTGAAACCTGTCTGAGATCCAGTCATCTAGTAAGCTCCTGTGCACTCTGCAATGTTATCAGGTCCTGTTCATCTCTGAACTACAGAACACCTTGTTTGGTCCTATGTTTTGGAGATGAGGAGAGCGGCAGGTGTTCTACAGTCCTAACACACTTCCTGTCCTAGGGTGGCAACACTGCGCCTCCATTAGGTACCATACAGTGAGCGTTGCTTCCCTAGGTTGGGAAGCCTGTTACTGGCAGGATCATCGGTTCACAAAAACAATAAATAAATGGCTTCATCACATCTAAGGACTGGTATGCCACAATATGTCACATTTTTGCTTAGATTTGCACTCTTTTAAATGCATTTTCTCTGTGGAAGAACAGCTTCTCAGACACAAAGACCCATGTACATGAGCCCTAATAGTGTCAGTGGAATCCATCTGCAATCCTCGGGGGCAGGTAGGAATTTCTCTTTCAAAATGTGCATTACAGTTCCTGTTTTTCCTTCATTTATTTATTACAGGTATTTATATAGCGCTGATTTTTACACAGTGGTTTACATAGTGGCACATTCACATCAGTCCCTGCCCTCAAGGAGCTTACAATCTAAGGTCCCTATCTCACGTGAACACATACAAGGCCAATTAACCTTCCAGCATGTCTTTAGAGTGTGAGAGGAAACCATAGTACCCGGAGGAAATTCACAAGCACAGGGAGCACATGCCAACTCCTTCCAGATACTGTCCTGACCGAGATTTGAACCGGGGACCCCTCAGTGCTGCAAGGCAAGCATGCAAACCACTAAGTCACTGTGCTTCATCTGGCTTTATACTGCTAATGCTACAAAATCACCCCTATCACTTGCCACCAATGCTACATTTCATTTATATTGATTTCATCAAACTCAATTGACAAGAATATTTATTTTTCACGTATTCACACATCAGTGAATTAGAAATACCAACAAAAAATACAATTTTTAATGTTTGTAACTGTCCTCAGCATCATAAATTATGTCCGCCTGTTTATTTGGCTTTAAACTTTGCCAGTTTTTGTTCCAACTCTTCAAATATTTCTTGCTCGATCTTGGTTGTGTCGTATTCCTTCAGCATGTCAAACTCTTCCCATGGTTTAGCTGACTTCTTGGCTTTCTGTTTGTGTTTCTCTAGCAGGTATTGTTCAAACTGAATGCCTTTGATGTTGAACCTGTGCTGCTCCCAGCGTCTAGACCATGGTCGGGGCTTCATCTGAACTTGCATCTATTAGAGGAGGAAAAGATTGTGTAAATATTATTACTTCAACTATATACGGTATACATCTATTTTGCTTAATATAGTGACAGTTTTTCTCAACCTAATTAAAGGGAATGTCCAAAAAACAAAGTTCAAACTCTGACACTTCTAGCTCCTGTGTTTTATCAGGAATAGGGGCTGTAAGTGAAGGGAAAATGTCTATGTTTTTTAATTGCTTTGAGTTAATGTTCTAGGGGAAAAAAAATGTTAACTTATTTATTACAGGTATTTATACAGCGCCGACAATTTACGCAGCACTCTACATTGTTGCACATTCACATCAGTCCCTGCCCTCAAAGAGCTTACAATCTAAAGTCCCTATCTCACATACATACAGGGCCAATATAGACACAAGCCAATTAACCTTTCAGCATGTCTTTAGAGTATAGAAGGAAACCCATGCAAGCACAGAGAGAAATACAAACTTCATGCAGATAGTGTCCTGACCGGATGTTGATTGGCCAGCTTCACACCTTTGCGTTGCAATAATGCACCACACATGTGTTTGCACTAAGGGAAAGCACCTCCACTGCACATGCATGCAATGTACTGCTTTGAATTGTGGTGCATTGACTATATTATCTTCTGCTCTATAATGGGGTAGGCAAACTCCAGCTCTCCAGCTGGTGGTGAAGCTAAAAAATCCGTTCATGCATCTGCCTCTAGAGGTGCCCATACACTGCTCGATTCTCGTACGAGAATCGGGCGAAATCCCGCGATCGTACGAGAATCGAGCAGTGTGAACTATGACGTGCGACCGTTTCTACTGTACGGTCGCACGTCTTTTGTCGAGCCAACATGTTCGAAAACCCGCCGAGAATCGTACGATTCTCGGCATAAGGTGTATGGGCACCTTTAGAGTCATATCTGTGGCTGTCAAGAGTCTTGCAATGCCTAATGGGATTTGGAGTTCCACCACAGCTGGAGTTTGCCTATCCATGCTCTATAATAATGACAAATACTCTTCTTGTATTGTTCTTTCTATTGAGAAAAAACAAAACTCTGTTCTATAATAAAAACAGATTAGACATTAAGTTCCAGGCACATATTAAAAGACACGGATAAATACAGTTGTGTAGTTATTGAAAACAAACGTCTGTATGAAATATATGTTAATAATAAATAACAACATCACTTTGAGCCAATCAGATGTTCTACATTCACCTGTGATGACTAGGAACATACTGAATGGAGCAAGCAGAGAGATGACCTAATCAGTCTGTTGCTGCTCCTTTAATGTTCAATTACTGGGCTCACATCCTCCCTGCCCCATGCTGACGCTGCCCCAGTCTGGAGGGAGGTGGGGAAGTGACCTAGCTGTGATGTGTAACTACACTAGAGAAAAGTCAGGGCATCAAGCTGGCTGTGTTGTATAATGAGGCTTTGCAAATTTGAACAGTGCGATTTGCCTGGAGTCCAGCTTTAAAACAAAACTTCAAAAAGGTGCCCAGGATTTATAGTCCTCGGACACCACCTCCTACACCCAAGCATCTGGAATGCAAGATGTTCAATAGTTCAATAGAGGCCAATGGATGTTTCCCCATTCTAGAAAGTTGGGGTCCACCTTCATGCCAAAGAAGGCTTATCTGAGGATTCTGCAGACTTGAAGTGCCAGACTGCGGGCAGAGGGGGTCCTCAAAGGCAAGTGCTATCACACTTATGACCCCTGCGATCAGAGTAAGTAAACCAGAAGGCAACATGACTCCATGCTACAGACGATGGCACCATCAGAAGACATCATGGTGCCACCCCCTGCCCCATACACCACCCCCCCTTTTCCAAAATCAAATATGTTGCAGTTAGGCAATGTACAGGCTCGGAATAGGAGCCAAGGCCTGAAGTACCCACAAAATCTGCTTAGAGCTGACAGTAGGTGAGGGTTAGTGACCGTAAGATCAGATAAGATCAGGTGGTGGGGCTTGACCAAAGTTATTGTAAGTGGGCAGTAGGAACAGATCATAGATCAAAGTTCCATGTTAGCAAGCAGCAGCAGCAGGGAGATGCTTCCTGAGTGATATATGGCATTAAAGGGACAGGGACACTCCACCCAGCTAACAACATTTATGCTCAGTCCCACATCATTAACCTCTTCCACTTCAAAGTAAATGAGGAATAATTGTGCCCAGTGACCAATGAAACTACTAGGCCTGCTTAACTAAATGAGTCTTCAAAAGACAGGGCAAGCTCAGAGGCAATGGCAGTGACTGGAAAGTGATCAGCATCTAACTTTACCAGAACTAAATCTGGAAAACAGACCACGTGGAAGCCAGTGTTCAAAAGGTCACTTCCAGCCTAGCGCTTCAGAGCCTAGATGCAGTATGGTACAAAAGTCAGGCGGCTGAGATTGACCACGCCAGACAGTTGCCAATCAGAAGGAAACCTTGCGTAGTAGAGGTGCACCAAAATGGAAAATTTCAAAACCGAAACGGAAAAAAAAATGTTAGGCCGAAACCAAAAACATTTTTTATTCTAACTTTTTAACTTTTTTTTTTTTATAAACTTTAATTTTTTTATATTTTATTTTTATTAAATATTTGTATTTTTCACTTTACTTTTAGGGGCTTTGGGGAAATATTAGGGGTCTAAACAGATCCCTGATATTTCCCTTTTAAAACAGAGAAAGAGCTTGGAGGACACAAAGTCCCTTTTTCTGTAGCCCCTGTTATCAATGAACAGGAATCCTCTATACTGAGTGTTCTTGTTCATTCATAACTTGGAGATAGTACTGCATGTTTACCATGTCCACAATCATGAATGAACAGGAGGTGATGTAGATCTCTTCCTATTCATTCATAATTGAGGATATAGTAAACATACTCTGTCCTCAATTATTTACAAACACTCACTGCTTGTACCTCGCTCTCCTTCCTGACAGCTGTCACAGGAGGCTGAGCGAGCAGAGCTCAGCCTCCTGTGACAGCACTGCAAGCTGTCTGCGGCAGAACACACCGCTCTCTCGTTCTGCCGCAGGAGGCTGAGCGAGTGGTGCGGGAGGAGAGCTCAGCCTCCTGTGACATCGCTGTGACAGGAGGCTGAGCGGTGCGGGGAGAAGACGCCGGCCACTCGCAGCGCTCGACCGCCTGTGACTGTTTCTCCCCTCCTCGCTGGGACACAGAGCAGCGCCCAGCGGGGAGGAGAGAATAGGATGCACCTCTTTATCAGCAAGAAAATGGCACTTTCGGCATTTTGCCAAAAGTGCCATTTTCGGCTGATATGTTTCGGCGGCCGATATATCGATGCATCCCTATTGAGTAGCAATGTAAAGAAGTCTTGATTAAAGAAAACTTTTTAGAGAAAATGCTAGAACACCACAGGTTAGTCTTTCCAAAAGCAGACAGCAGTGTAGGCCCTACATGACCACTTACCGTGTTGACAGGAACTTCAGAGTGCAGGAATGGGACTGGCTTCATGTTGACATCAAATGTGCTGTATTCAGGAAGGGCGTCGCGCAGATACATCAGTTTGTTGTCCAGTCTCTTCTCCAACTTCAGTACTTGGATTTCATGCACCTGAGGACTGTACATGTCATATCTGATCTCAACACCTGGAGAACAAGAACATCATGAACATTTCTGTATCACCGTCCGTAACACAGACCAACAAGACTTCTGCATTTTAACACCAAATCCACCTGCTGATCACAGTCACTTCTCTGGAAAGTTGAACAAAAGATCAGAGCAGAATTTAAACCTACCCAATCGATCACTTTTCAGATGTAATCTTCCTATACAAAAGGTTTGCTTTCCATGTACGGCCTAATTTCCACACAATATATCCGTGATCATGTGACAATATACTCTCCTTGCCTATGGCTGTGCATTTAACATTGCTGTGGCTTTTACAAGGCGGAAAGTACAGATTATATTATTAGCTCACGAGTGAAATGCTGGTAAGAGTGATGAACAGAGAGGAAAGTGTTGAAGGAATAGCAGAGATCATTTTTAAAACAAAGAGAAACATGGAAGCAAATACACAACAGAATTAATGGGGAACAATGGTGTAAAAATGTGTCTAGTTCCCAATGTTAGGAGATGTTTAGAGCTCAGATATAACCCAAGAAATCGAAACCAGGCAGCCAAAACTAGTTGTTGTCTGTCCCTGCCCTGCTTTAAAGTCACAGAAGGAATACAAGGACTGATAACTGCTCACTGTCTTCTACAAATGCTAATTGCCTGACTCTAGTGCTGACTTTTTGGCTTCATTATCTGCTGAGCCACTCAACTGTGGCTCAGAACGCATCCACTCCCTTGTCATCTCTCATCTCGACTATTGCAACTCCCTCCTCATTGGCCTTCCTCTACACAGGCTCCTCCCCCCTTCAGTCTATCATGAATGCTGCTGCTAGACTCACCCACCTCACCAACCACTTAGTGTCCCTATCTGCCACTTTCCAGATACACTGTCACCTTGCTCCTGCATTGGTGAGGTAAGTGTTTTTTTTTTAGTATAACAGAGAAAACAGGGAATACACAGCTAATTAGTTATAAATAGAATAACAACAAACTACATTGAACTGTGAAGCTTCACTCCATGCATAAGGTGATTGCAGCTGTATTAGTGCAATAAAACAAATGAGGACCATCTGTGATACTTTTTAAAAAAAATATGTAGTAGTTACATGTTCAATTTTCCCAAAAGCTTGTCCTGAAAATTTAACGATTAATGCAAATGAAAAAAAAGTATCATGGACAGTACTGGATTTTTTATTTTCTACTCCATGTATAAAATGCACAAGCAGCTACACCCCTCTTCTAAGTCCTTTACCTTGTCCCTCAATAACATTTCGGAGAACAAAAGTGGCACCGAGTCCATGTCCAGATCTCTGGATACAAATCCCCACGAATCTGTGAAGTTTTCCGCTGGCATGGGGATCTGACATGGTCACAGCAAGAATGCTCCCTGAAAGAAACCAAGCATATAGTTAAATAATACTTTGCACATCTCAAATGATCTACTTCCCCATTCTTTCCATTCTGTATTCTCTATTCTTATCTCTTCACCAATAATCCACCTTTATTTATTTCTTCCTCCAGAAACATACATCACCACCTCGGTCATTTCATCTACGGACAAACCTATTCAAATGAAACTGAACCATCTAGTCTACTATAGTGCCCTAAAACCTCACAACTTGAAACTCCGACCTTCTCCACTCTCTGTAGTCCTGCCACTTTCTACAACAATTCTGGCTAAGGGTTAACTTCCCAATATTCGCTGCCCTAAAATATGCCTATTGGGTATGGTGGACGAACTCTTAACCCTCTCTCACACAAAAGGAACTTTTACAAATAAAAAAAAAATTATAATAATTGAACAGTAAAAGCCTTGCTACCTGTAGAGGAATTTTGCATGCTGTAGAGGAATTTTGATATTAACTCATACGCTTCATGTTGTTAATATTAACTCACATATACATGATTAATTTTACGTAAAATTATTTAGTCCTAGAAGTTTGCAGCTTTATGAACCCTAAGGGCATACAATATGTAGAAATGTCACCAAATCTTTTTAGGATAGCAAAATGTTCATTTATTTGCAGTTCCTTGTCAGAAAAACAAGCGCTTTCAGGACCTCGCAGGGTCCCGGAAGCTGGTGACATTTCTACATATTGCTGATGTTTGCGGCGCCATCCGCAGTCACTGCGAGCAAACCCCCCCACTACAAGGGACTTTCGGTAAGGAGTGCAACAAATAAGTGTTTATTCTAAGGGCATACAAGACAAACTTGGGGTGGATTGTAATGTCACTGGCCCTCGTCCAGAGAATGTCTTGTATATATTGATAAAAATACCAGGCCATCACTGAATGGCTGCTTTGCTGAGTGAGTGACCCGCTGTTTTTCCAGAGCAGAGGGGAAGCAGCTCAGTTAATATTAACTCTCAAGCAACCAGAAACTACAGTTATCTGGCATTCACCAATCCACATGGGTACCAGAAAACTAGGAGTTTACTGTACGTACATTGGGCCAAGCTGGGACATTGTAAGTATGCATAAATATTTATACCTGGATTTCAGCTTTAATAAATGGTCCAATGCAAAACAGATCACTTGAACTCTCTCTCTGACATGTTTCACTCATGTGTAGCTTATTCATAGAGTAGGAGTTAACAGGTGGGGAAGTTCTCTAATACATACAGTAGATTAACCCAGAAAAGCTGTTTCCAGTACAATTTATGGCGTGATATTTTGTATTCAGTTGGAATAAAACTAACTTGATACATTATGTGTGTGTGTATATAGATTAGGGATCGACCATTATGGATTTTTTTGGTACCGATACTGATTAATAACCACATTTCAGGCCAATAACCAATATCAGGTACCGATATTCTGGTTACATCCAGATGCACCAGCAGTTGAATGTAAACCGCGGAGAGTCGCCCGAGCTGTCAGAATACAAAAGAAAAAAAACATCAGATGCATTAGCTCCCCTGCTATCTGCCCGTTTTTCTTTAGTCTGACAGCGGGGCCGCTGGCTGCCGTCAAGAGTAAAGAAAAAAAAAAGCAACAGGTAGCATTGGAATGAATAGCTAGGCTGCTATTGGCTATTTCAAATTGCAATAGCCAATAGCAGGCTGGCTATTGCACCCTGTCAATCAGCAGAGGAGGACCTGAAGGAGATCTGCAGCAGTTGCAGCCTTTCACCTTTTCTAAAAAAAAATAATGTGCAGTCTGATCACTAGGGGAGACCAATGGATGACATATCAACTGGCAAAAAAACACTTGACTGGAGCTCAAGGACTGCTATTTAATGCTAAATGGTAGCGCTTTAAAAAATACTGTTTCTGGACATTGCTACAGAAATATATTTATGCAAACCCTACCCATAGTGGAGAGGTAGGGATAAGCAGTAAGCTATGGCATTTCTTTGCCCAATCAGAACCATACGGCACTTGGCATAGCAGCAGGTAATGGACACTGCTGCAGAACTATTGTCACTGTGACAAAGTCACTTCAAAGGCCCACTTTAACTACTCTGCCCTTTTCATTGTAACTAAAATGGTGTTACGAGGATGAATCTGTTCTCGCACCTACGTAGAATTCTGGAATGTTGAAGGTTCCGCGTCTTTTAATCATTTCATCCCTTTCGATCTGAAAACAAAGTGGATCTTTCCTGCGTCGAGGAGGTATAAATTCTGGGCTCAGGAACCTGCATTAAAACATAATAATAATAATGTTTCACCCGTTAAAGAGACCCGCTCATCAACTTAAAAAATTGCATGTAAAAGCAGAGAAAAAGCAAGTACTCAAAATGCTCACTTGCAGCATTTTCCTTTCCAAAAACAAATTTAGGTGCAATGTGCCTTTGAATTTGCTAACAAATGTGACTTCTTCATAAAGAGTCCACTCCCTAGCGCAGTCCTCTCCCTCGCTTTCTGGGAGTGTCTAATTATAGTTTGTGCTGGTCCAGTTTCTCCGCCCCTCTGTGCTTGTCCAGTTCCTCCACACTACATAACCTTTTATGCAATCGCTGGGGGCAGAGCGACGTAGACTTGCCTAACAGAGTCTACTGGGGCTGCTGACATCACGTCCAAGATGGTGGCACCAGTCTTGAGGCTTTTGGATGCGTCTACACATGGGAGGCTTTTAAAAGGTACATAACATGCCTAAAATATATAGGCAGCACAGCGGCGTAGTGGTTAGCACTTCTGCCTTGCAGCATTAAGGGTCCCCAGTTCAAATCCTGGTCAGGGACACTATCTGTAAGGAGTTTGCTTGTGTGGGTTTCCTCCCACACTCCAAAGACATGCTGGAAGGTTAACTGGCTCTGTATGTATGCACGTGAGATAGGGACCTTAGATTGTAAGCTCCTGGGAGGACAAGGACTGATGTGAAAGTGGATTATGTAAAGCGTTTTGTAAAAATTGTATGTAGAAACAGGGACACCGGCACTCCAATTGCAATTTAAATACATGGGTGCAGCATATCACACTAAAGCAAGGTTTCGGGGTCACGCATGATCCCCTTCCTCAGGCAAAAACATGTTTTTGCCTGAGGAAGAGGATCATGTGTGACCCCGAAACCTTGCTTTAGTGTGATATGCTGCACCCACTTCAATAAACAGACGTATTTAAATTGCAATTGGGAGTGCCGGTATCCGTTTCTGCATATGCATTTAACGTTTGCCACCCGTTGACAACCGCAGCACCCATCCTTTCTTTCGTGGAACAAGCGGTCAGGAGTGCGATGGGTTCATGAACTTTTTCTTTTTTGTAAAAATTGTAAACGCTATATAAATACCTGTAATAATTACATTAAAGCTACTCTCCAGGAAACCTGCTAACTCTCTTCATATCTCCCATTGTGTTCTTATTATCATCAGTAAAATTGATAATTAAAAAATGTACCTATGATGTCATCAACAGTGCTCTGATTCCCTGGTATGGCTGGTCTCAGTGGGAGGGTACTATGTGGCGCCCCACATTATTTCCTCTCTATTTCCTAGCTGTAACACTGAACTACATATACCATCATGCTTTTGTATAATTGTGACAAATGTGGGCATTTATTGGGCGGGTCTATGGGTAGTGCGAGGACAGAGGTGGTTGGGGAGAAGTGTAGATGACGCGGTGGGGGGGGTTTAGCAAAGACCAGCAGGAAATTCCTGCCTAATTATAGTACATCCCAATTGCCCTTGCACACTGATGTGATGAGGTGACCAAAAATCACACTACACAGAGGCGGTGGGGGGGACCGATCGCCCTGCTGCGCATAGAGCAGCCCCTAAGTGCCCAGACCTGTGGACAGGATATTCACAAAAGGAAACTTTTCCGGGATGACTTTTATTGAAGATGAGAGGAGAATGCTGCTGACATCATAATGTCTTATGTAGGTCCATTGACCTGCATTAGACATGAGAACAAGAAAGAACATTCCATAGCCAGAGCATGCAGTGGTGAGTAGTGACCACCACAGGAGCTGGTATCAGGTACATAAAACAGCACTCAAAAGGGTTCAATACTCATTTTGAGTGCTGTTTTACGTACATTTTTTCTTCTTTAATATGTCAACCGAGAATATCGACAACCCTGTAAAACTCAATGTACTGTAAGTACATATAATATACTAAGGAAACAATGCAAACACTGACAATAGAGAGAAACTGCCATTACCTCCTCTGAGATTCCTGCAGCGCTAACTTATCTATAAACAATGGCTTGCTGGGTGGCTGGAACTTGGTAGGCTCACCATCAGAAAGCAACCGGGCCGGCATCAGGAATCCTAAAGTGAAAGAGAAATTAACAAATTGCACATGTTGGCTTATTCAAAAACCATATAAAAGTTCACCCAGCTCGGCTTAGGCCTGACACATAATATACACTTTAGTACATTGTTCAAGCAAGCAAATCTGTGAAGGGAGAAAGATGGGAACGGCCATTGCGGACTGTCTTCTCAAGAGCCTCTGGCTTGATCATTTCCACGTCACTGACCTATAATAAGTATGTAGATCAGTTTTAAGTCATCAACTGTATACTATCTCTGGTTCATGGACTCAAAGTATTAAAGACAGAGGGTCAGCAGGACAGCCATGCACCTAACATTTTCATACGGAGAGTCCAGTACTGGCAGTGATCCACTAGCGGCAGCCTCCATGTTTTTATTGACAGTTTCCAGTCCGTGAAGGTTCTCATTTACCCAGGTCATGGTATATCTATAAAAAAAGAAATCATGGCAACTGGACTTGCTGTATTTTCCTTGAAGACATTTCACTGGTCATGCGACTAGCTTTCTCAATTCAGAAATGTTATCCAATTAAGATACAATTCTAAATTGAGAAAGCTGGTCAGATGACCAGTGAAATGAAATGTCTTCAAGATAAATACAGTCCAGTTGCCTTGATTCATTTTTACAGATAGGTTTCCTTTCACACTTTAAAAGCCTCAACAACCCATCACGTTTCGAGTAATCCATATATAATGGCCTGAAAATGACTATCTCGGTATGACATTCGTGGTGATACCCAATGTCATATAATGTTGCACAGCTGCCATTTATATATGCATGTACATTTGTAATTGCATGTGCAGGGGGATGGGGGAGGATTAAAACGTTATTTTTTAATAAAAAAATATGTTTACATCACAAAGGAGTCCTGACATGTGATAGTAAATTTATTGCGACGGGTCCTCTTTGTGGTCCAATAGGCCCCCAGAGGCTTTTTTCAGCCTAAACAGACTGTACTCAACTGTCAGTTTTTTCAGACGCGACCTGACAGCTCTGAAACAGGAAGTGCTCAGATGTGGCTTTACAACTGCCCAGTCGCTACTAGGTCCAATGTCAGACTTCAGGACTCATTCACACAGGCGTGCGCGCCTGTGCAGACCCACTCCGGGGAGGGACAGGTGCTGTGTGTAATTGCGTGTAGCCACTTGTATGTCCCTATGGGAAGATGTGCTACATGTAGTTAAACGCATACCTGGATCTGCATATCCATGCAGGTCCGTGTGACTGCAATTGGATGAATACAGTGTACGCCCAAATGCAAGCACCCGGAGTCACACAGATACAGGTCTGCTTGTAACTAGGGACGCACCGAAATTTAAGCCATCTAAACATTTCGGCCAAAAATGGCACTACAGGCAAAATGTAGATGGTCGAAAATTCAGTGCATCTCTAGGCTTCTCTCTTCCCTGCTGGGTGCTGGTCTGTGTCCCCTCCGATCTCCGCTGCTCTCGCCCACCTGTGTCGGCAGAGGCAGCAGTGATCGGAGGGGACACAGAGCTGATCCAGCTGCCGGAGAGGAGAGAAAGTTGTCAGGAGGCTAAGTAGTGCAGTGCTGGAGGGGAGCTCAGCATACTGTGACAGGGGAGTCAGAACGCAGAGCGGAGTACAAAACACTCGGAAATCAGTACTGATCGCGGTTTGTACATAACTGAGGACATAGTATGCTTACTATGTCCCCAGTTATGAATGAACAGGAAGTACTGTACATCACTTCCTGTTCATTCATGGATTGTGGATATAGTAACTGATACTATCGGCTTACGAATGGACAAGAGCACTCAGTATAAAGACTTCCTGTTTATTCATAACAGGGGCTGCAGAAAAAAAAATGGTTTCGACCTGACAAATGTTTTTAATTTTGGTTGCGGTCTAAATTTCGGTGCATCCCTACGGGTAACTACATGCAGCTGCATCCTCCTACAAGGAGCTACAGGCGGCTGCATGTAATTATACGCCGCACCCGTCCCTCCCGGGAGCAGTTCTCTGAACGGGCATGCATGAGGTACGGTTGTGCACGCTCATGTGACTGAGCCCTAAGCGTTGGTTTCTTCTTCTGCTTTTTTATGAGCATCTGCACACAGGTACTTCAGGTAGGAGCATTTTTGTTCAGCCAATCAAAAGCAGGTCACTAGGGGGAGGAGACAGTTGTTAGGCACAAAAACTGTGCCTAACAAATGAATTGTCCCACTCCGTACGTTTACATCTTTGGAGACCTTCCAGTGAATTTTTGGATTGGGAGCACTTGGAGGAATCCCAGGTAAACAATGGAGGGAAGGTACACACTTCATGTAGATAGGGGCCCCCAGTGGGATCTGATCCCAGGACCCAGCGCTGCAAAATGGCTATACACTTTGATGCCATGCTGGATATTAGGGACATCTGAATGGCCCCCAAACCCCGGGGGCCGACCTAAAATCAATTACAGATATCAATATACTGAAATAAAGCCAATGACATAGTGCCTGGGGAGCAGAGATGGCTGGATAGTGACATTCCCATTAAAAGGGGGAATGCTGCCATCAACACATCGGCTGCAGTACTATGTTTCTGTCTTCACTCTAAACCCCTCCGCCATCTCTCTAGTCCGCTCTGCACTCACCTGTCCGGTACCGAGCCAGCAGCACTGACCTCCTGCACGCCGCCATGTTTGTCCCATAAGCCGCACTGACAGCGGACATGCGCAGTAAGCGGCTCCGCTCGTTCTATGGAGCGCCGCTAGGGTCAAAACAGCCTGAGAAGCGAAGTCGTTCAGGGTTCGACTATGCGAGGACTAGGAGGTAACTCCAGTGCTGTGCTTACTGCGCAGAGAGGAGTCAGTATAAACCTGCATGGAATTGGGACCCAGTCCTGGCTGGTCTTATACATGTCCAGGGATTTGAGTGAAGTTCCTCAGATTCTAGACATGCCCACTTCACCCACACACACCACCTGCAGAATACAGGAGCCCTTACAGTGCATTCTGCCTGACCAAGCTGTCCACATGTGGGGCATCATGGATTAACACTATCAGTGCCATGGCATACCTCCTTCCTCTGATGCCAGGACGTTCTTCCTCCCACTGACCCTGGGACATTATTTCTCCCACTGACTCCAACACTGGGGCATTCTTCCTCCCACTGACCCCTGATGTCTGGACGTTCTTCCTCCAACTGACCCCCGACGCTGGGATGTTCTTCCTTCCACTGACCCTCGACTCCAGGGTGTTCTTCCTTCCAACTGACCCTCGATGCCAGGGTGTTCTTCCTCACACTGACCCCCGATGCTGGGATGTTCTTCCTCCCACTGACCCCCGACGCGGGAGCATTCTTCCACCCACTGACCCCCAAAGCCAGGGCATTCTTACTCCCACTGACCCTTGACACCGGGGCGTTCTTCCACCCACTGACCCCCAACGCCAGTGCGTTCTTCCTCTCACTGACGCTCAACGCCAGGGTGTTCTTCCTCCCACTGACCCTCTGATGTTGGGGTGTTCTTCCTCCCACTGCCCCCATGCTGTTTTTTTCATTCTCCCAATGACCCCCCCGGATGCTGGGATGTTCTTCTTCCCACTGACCCCTGTTGATGGGCCTTTATTTATTCCCACA